GTCCTCAGTCAAAAACCACCCAACCAACCTTGGCATTGGTGCATTTAAAAGATTTTGGGGTCACAGATTGCTTTCAGAACCTTTAAAAAAAAAAAGAAAAAAAAAAAACAAACACTACAGAACCTTTTCGGGCCAGGTGCGGTGACTCATGCCTGTAATCCCAGCACTCTGGGAGGCCAAGGTAGGAGGATCATTTTAACCCAGGAGTTTAAGACCAGCCCAGGCAATATAGTGAGACCTCTACAAAAAAAAAAAAAAAAAAAAAAAAAAGCCAGGCGCTGTGGCTCACACCTGTAATCCCAGCACTTTGAGGGACTGAGGCAGGCAGATCATGAGGTCAAGAGTTCAAGACCAGCCTGACCAACATGGTGAAATCCCATCTCTACTAAAAATACAAAAATTAGCTGGGTGTGATGGCGCACTCCCGTAATCCCAGCTACTCGGGAGGCCAAGGCAGGAGAATCACTTGAACCCAGGAGGCAGAGGTTGCAGTGAGCCGAGATCGTGCCCCTGCACTCCAGCCTCAGTGACAGAGCAAGATCCGTCTCAAAAACACCAAAACAAAAACCGAAAAACAATAAAATTAAAATAAAATAAAATAAAATAAAATGTACAATTATATTATTATTTGCCAGCCAAGTGCAGTGGCTCACATCTGTAATCCCAGCACTTTGGGAGGAGGAGGTGGGCGGATCACCTGAGGTCAGAATTGGAGAGCAGCCTGGCTAACATAGTGAAACCCCATCTCTACTTAAAATACAAAAAAAAAAAAAGAACCTTTTCCAGGAAAAAGTACAGACAGACAAGACTTTGCAAAGTTTCAGAGGCTCCCCTAATCCCAGAGACTCCTGGCTGCCGGTGCCAGTAACTGCTCTCCCCAGAGCTCATGGAAGAGCCCTTGACACCTAGGTGTGCGGGGCATCAGACACGGACTTCCCTTGTCAGCCTGTCCCACAGCAGGCTGTGACACAAGCCTGGAAGTGGCACTCGGAAGCCCCCGGGGAAACCTCCTGCAGGGGCCCTGGCCTCTGGCCTTGTCCCTTCTTCCTTGCTCCTCCTCCCACTGGTGCAGGCATGGAAAGAGACAGCAGGAGCTGGCACCGAGGAGCAAAGCCTTGGAAGGAAGGAGCCCAGGCCCCGCCCATCCAGGAAGCTGCCACACAGGCCCAGGCTGTCTGCCTCGGACTTCCTCAAAGCAAAGGAAAATAACCAACCACCTGGTTCAAAACAGGCTATGCTGGAGCCCACCACATGCAGCCAGACTAAACCCAAGGATATGCCCTGAGGCACTTCCACAAACGTTTGGCCCTGGGTCCCCAGAGTCCAGGTTAAATTCCTGCCTCCCTTAAGGGGCTGGTGGAAATAGCTTTAAATGTCCAATTCAAGCTTTTTCCTAGTTTCTAAAAGCTCTGCAAGTAGCTTCAGAAAATACTCTGCATTCACCATAAAATCCTGAATCCTAACCTCTTCCAAATGAGGACACCACACACTATTCAAGTTGTTTACTCAGAACGCCTCTGTTGCCAGGATCAAGAGTCATTTAAAATTCTGCTAACAGTAAAGATTTCAATAGAAAAAACTAGGGCAACAAGCCCAAGAAAACTGGAACACAGCAATGCCTGTGGTTGCTATTTTGGCAAATTAAATTTGCCATTTCTCAGAAGTCCTGGGGATAGTCCAGTCTTAATACAATAAAACAGCTGGACTGAGACTAATGCTCAAGCAAGCCTCTTACTGTGACGACTATTCAGAACCCTACCAAGTCCACCAAAAGGTGCAGGGCTCAGGGCACATATGGAAAAGCAGGGCCTACAGCCCAGAGTAACACTGTGAATGTCCAGTAGAACAGGAGTGGTGAAGAATCCAGGCCCACCCAGACTGCCAGACTCCACAAAGTCATTCACATGGATGAGACTGATTTAATCACGTGAAACAAAATGGAAAGACCTCCAGAATATGACAGCGACAGGAAGGCACACAAGTGGAAAGTTGCACAGCAGTGCAGACAATATGATCCCAATTCTGCTTCCTAAACATGGTGTCCACCACGTGTGGTCATCTGTCCATGTGTGCAAACACGTACAAGACGGTCGGGGATGACGAACAGCAAACCTCAGGCTACCCAGAGCAGGGATGCTCCAACCGCGCGAGCCTCACTCTCCTGTCCACTCCACCCTCCTGGACTGCTGAGCTTTCCATAGGCCTTATTTATTTATTTATTACCTGTGAAACTGTTTCTAAAACAAAGTGATGTGTCTACAGACAAGGTCAACGACATCAAATCCTGACAAACTTTACAGAACCACCTTTAACCCGGCCTTAAATCCACCTCTCAGCCACCAAGGCATGGGGACCCACACATCCGGGCAGGGATAGGGAGAGAATCCACAGGCAATCAACCTCAGGTGTGCCTGATGCCACGAGCCCCACCCAGCTTGCCCAGCCCTGCCCAGCCCTGCCCAGCCCTGCCCAGCCCTGCCCACTCTCCCTGCTCCTGGACCCTCTGCGCCTCAGGCTCAGTGGGTGATCCTGCTCTCCTCCCTCTCAGTTCCCAAGAACGCTCCTCAGGCATGTGCCCCGCACCCAGTCAGCACCCCTCCCCCTGGTCCCTCAGCATCACCCTCACACACCCTTCCCCCACGTTGCCTGCCGCCCTCCTTCCTGCCCCTCCAGCTGCAGCCCCATTCTCTGTTCCTTTTCAGATAAAATTCCTCAGAAGCCCCCCCACCTGTACTTGCAGTCTCCATTTTCGGTGCTCACATCCCCTCAAGATCCCCTGCTTCGGGTTGTCACTCAGTTACTCCCCAAAAACTGCTCCAGCCCAAATGCTGCCTACACTCTCCCCACCACCAGGCCTAAGCGGCTCATTCTAGCTCCTCCCCACACTGTCCTCCCTGCCTGGCCCCCACTCCTCTACTCTCTCTGCTGGTCCCACATCCACTTCCTAACTTGAGGATACCCAGGGCACGGCCCTGGGACCTCTGCTCAGTCAGCACTGACCCAGCGGCTCATCAGCCTGTGGCTTCAGATACATCTCCGTGCCAATGGCGCATACAGCTCAGACCTCGCACGTGAACTCCAGGCCACACAGCATACCACCTACTAGGCGTCTCCCCTAGGGGGTCGTCTCCATTCTAACACGTCCAAACTGACCTCCTGGCACCCACCTCAAATCAACCTGTTTCTCCCACACTTTCCACCTCAATTTAAAGCAACACCCACTTCCCAGATGCTCAGGCCAAAACTTCAGTCCTCCTGGGTTCTCCTCTCCCACACCCTGATTCGGCCTCGTCTTCCCAGCCCGGCACTCCCAACCTAGACCCAGGCCAGCCCCTCAGACCTGGCTCACACACGGCCATCTCACTGTCACCTGCACCTCTGCTGTGATCACAATAAAGAGCGCTCAAGGCGTCACATAAAAACACATGCCAGGCTACGTCCCTTATCTGCTCCAAGCCCTCCAAGGGTTTCCCATCTCACGGGCCCTCTGCAGCCCCTCGGGCTCTCCTCCCCGCCACGTTCGGACCCTGCATTTGGGCCTCCGAACCGTGCTTCTCAGGGAAACACCCAGCTCGGGGCCCTACCACGGCGCTGGTCGCCCCTGCACGCCTCCTGGACACCTCCGCAACACTGATGTGCACAACAGCCTTTCCTGCTCTACTGTCTGACTTACTACACATCTGAAAGGTTTCTCTTGCTTAGTGTCTCCTGCTAGAAGGTGAGCTTCACGAGGGCAGGAATCAGCATGGTTGTGTTCACGGCCCGCGCCATACCCAGTGACTACATCTGTGATGAGTCCAGTGGGAACACACCACCGACGTCATTCCCCAGTGCACAATGATGAATGTCAGAAATTCTATTTAAAAACCAAGGATTAAGGTTTTCAAAGTGTGTTGTGCCCATGTCCTGATTTCAGTACGGGCTGTGCTATAATTAAGTGACAAATCTAACTGCTCAGTTCATGAACGTGGAATCAGTGTGACTGACACATCTAACAGTGCCCACCCACTGTCAGCAAAGGCTAACGGCAGCTGGTCATTCGGTGAAACACACAGCTGCAAAGGTATTGAATTTTGCTATTACTATTTCAAAAATATTGGACACCCATAAAACAAAACCGCAAAGCCATTAGAAGAGGAATAAAAGGAAACCCACTGTAACTGGGCATAAAACTTGGCTTTAACAGTAAAAGTTAAAAAATAAACTGCTATAGATTATCAGTATCACACGAAAAACAGCGGCAAGGAAAGTCAAGCAAGGCTCCCTGTGTTCAACACCGGGGCCTCCTTCAACACCAGGATCTCCGCCGCCGCTGTCTAAGCCGCATCACAGGCATCATTAGGGGGTCTTACAACGTAACGGCTTTGTTCCCATCAGTACTTTTAGAGCAGACATTCTTCATAGAGCTGTTTCTTCTATCAAGCCTTCAGAAAAGCCCTAAGGCTGCATCTAACTTGGACGCAGTTATTTCCACAGGAAGTGGAACAATATAGCCCAGATGTGCAACCTCCCAGAGCGGGGCTCTGACATGGTGTGAATCACAGTACCTACCGTCATCAGATCCATGCAGAGCGGCCAGTCTAAAAAGATGCATTCCACAGCCATAGATACTCCTTACATGTCTTAAAGGGACTACCTCACTTTATGGATGACAAAAATATGAACTAAGTATATTCCCTGCTGGCAAAAAGTTAGCACAGGGCCTGGCCTGCACTGCACTCAGGAACTGAGTGGGGAACGCCCATGAACATGCACGAGTGAGGCGCAATCCTAAGCAGTCACAGTGCCTGCGACAGGGAGAGAAGCCGCCTGAGACAGTCAAGTGACAGGAGGGACCACAGCCACCAAGCTCCCAGCCCGTCCCCAGCTCGTCCTACTGCCCTTCTCCTCGGATGGCTTCCGTGTGGAGACTCCCAGGCCACCTGAGTTGGAATGGCAAGTCCGAAGAGCCATAAAAATTAGGACAGGGACTCCCATTTAAAGACGAGACTAAGCAGTACCTGGTAAAAAGCTAAATCTCCAGAAACGAGGAAACTGCCAAGAAATTAATCATTCCATTTAGTCAAATCCTCTTGGGATGTAAGTCTAGAAACAAAGAAATAATGAGAAAGGCAGGATGAACTGACACGAAGAAGTCAATTTTTATTAAACCGAGATATGTGAAAAAGTCTCAGCTTACTTCTTTTGCCCTAAATCAGTCTGAAGTGGAGCGTACAAGAATGAGATGGGGAATAACAGGAAAGAAGACTGGAAATGACTGATTAGATACTAGATAAGCAGGAAATCAGAAAGAAGCAAGAACACTCCTCCCGATGGCTTCCACTTATTCTTGGCATCATTCAGGCAACACGGCTTGTTCTTTAAGACGGCCCTCCAAACGTGTGCTTGCGGGGGGGAAAGGGGAGAAAAATTCACATTTGTAAGTGAGTGGTCCAATTCCAAACCTGAACATATTAGCATGCACAATTTCACCTGAGCATGCATAATTTCTAGGGATACATCTTAAGAAACGTGTAGGCTCTAAGGCAGTAGTTCTGACTTTCCGGCCTCAGGGTCCTCTTCACCATCCTAAAGCTACTGAGGGTCCCGAAGAGCTTGTACTTGTATAAACTATACCTATCAATATTTGCCATATTTGAAATTAGAACAAAAAATGTTTGAATATTTGTTAATTCATTTAAAAATCATACAAATCAACACATTACGTATCAAGCTGCCTTAGTCCATTTCCTGTTGCTATAACTGAATATCTGAGACTGGTAATTTATTACATAAAGAAATGTTTTTTGTTTTTTGTTTTTTGTTTTTGAGATAAAGTCTCGCTCTGCAGCCCAGACTGGAGTGCAATGGCATGATCTCAGCTCACTACAACCTCCACCTCCCGGGTTCAAGTGATTCTCCTGCCTCAGCCTCCAGAGTAGCTGGGATTACAGGCGCACGTGACTGCACCAGATTAATTTTTTTTATTTTTAGTAGAGACAGGGTTTCACCATGTTGGTCAGGCTGGTCTTGAACTCCCGACCTCAGCTAATACACCCGCCTCATCCTCCCAAACTGCTGGGGTTACGGGCATGAGCCACTGTGCCTGGCCTAAGAAATGTATTTCTTATAGTTCAGGAGGCTGGGAAGTCCAAGGTCCAGGGGCCCCATCTGGGAGTACCTTCCTGCTGGTGGGGATACAAGAGACACCCAAACTGGCTTTTATTACAGACCCCCTCTCATGATCACTAACCAACCACAAGGAGAGCCCATTAGTCTATAAATGCACTAACGCATTCCTGAGGGCTGAGCCCCTGTGACCCAATCACCTCTTAACAGACCCACCTCTTAACAGACCCACCTCTTAATACTGTGACACTGGGGATCAACTTTGAACACAAGTTTGAAAGGGGACAAACATTCATAGTACATACAAAACAAGTTTTATGAAAAATAACTATAGCTTCCAAAGAACAACAACAAAACCTCAGTGAGAAGAGGGACATTGTTTTACATTTTTACAAACCTCTAATGCCTGGCTTAATTGAAAACAACTAGATCTGCTTCCACTTGTGGTCTGCTGTGATACGTTGTTTTGGTCGACGCATGTGACAAAAATGCAGCCTTGCCAGGCAAAGTGGCTCATGCCTGTAATCCCAGCACTTTGGGAGGCCCGGGGGGCAGATTCTGTGAGTCCAGGAATTCCAGAACAACCTGGGCAACATGGCAAAACCCTGTCTCTACAAAAAGTACAAAAAAAATAAAATGCAGCCTCACAAGGAGATGCAGTTAGACAAGGGAAAAGTATTTTAAGAGCCTCTTCAGATCATTGTGGAGATTTTTCTTTAACACCACACCAAGATGCAACAAGTGTGTGTTATTTTTCCTTAAAGGCTGTTTGCAATGTGGAATCTGAACTGTATCCATGAGCTTCTGCACTTCATGGCTTTAAAATCCACTGGCTTGACTTGTACTGTAAACGGATCTTTTACCCAGGCATGATCCTGCATCAATCGTCTGGAAAATGCTGGTTCACCGAATTAGGCAGCTCTTGCGCATGTGCAGTCTCTAATATCCAAAGCATACAGTTTGTCAGCACTAGCACTGGCATCCTCTTTACTGGGTGCTCTCGGGCTCACGGTGGCAGAGACAAACTTTCCAAAATTCCAACTCTACCTGACAGCTCAAACTTTACCACTGACAACAAACACTGTTAGTTGACTTATTTGAGGTGACAGGCTAACTTCATTCATTTAGTGAGAGATGTCAATAAATTGTCAATTATTCTTTTACAGTGTTGCATGAAAAAAGCAGCTAGTTCAACTAGCAACTCAAATAATCCCTCAACAATCACCAACTTCAAAATACAACGAAAGTGCTTTCCGTGGACTTTCCGTTTTATCAGAGCAGAATCACTGATTTCGTGACACAGCTCACCTGCTGAGTCGGCCGGGCATGCCTAACGCTGTGCCGGAACTGCGGTCAGGCGGCTTGTCAACAACAGGAGAAACTGGGCTACTCCCTACGCTCTCTCTGCCACATATGTACACATCTCAAACTGTTCCAAAATAAAGGTTTGCAAACAAGTATGTCTTTAGGATAAAAATAGCAAAACCCTCCCAATACACGATGTGATCCACCTGCTATGACCAAATCCTTGCCTGCCAAACTCTTCAAGCATGTTCCAAACCCTCACCTAAGCCCATCCTCAAGTGCGGTCTCTTCCCACTCGCTGCTGAATCCCAAGCAAGCCATCTAGATCCAGATCCACCGTCAGACTGAAATTCATCTCCCAGGTGTCAGACACAAGCCCTACAGGCAAGCTCCTGGCTGCGTGGGCACCTGCACTCGGCAAGTGTTTCACACGTCCCCTCCTTGCAGCCATCCTCATGGTCCGCGGGGCCTCTGCTCTGCTCCAGAAGCCCCCAGAAGGTGGGCAGGGGTTTTGGCTGGTGTGCATGAGGGCCAGCCCCCAGTGAAGGTGCCCCTGGGGACCATCTCCCAGGGCGGGGGTAGGAAGTGCCAGGGACACCTGTCACCCTCAGGTCTTCATCTCCTGCCTTGACCTCTCACCGGCACTTTCTTCAGTCCAGGGTTTAAACCCCGTCTAGGCCATGGTCACTCGGATCAGTCATCCCAGCACTTCCACAGCTGAACCCTCCTCACTTCCGTTATCTTTCTCCCCAAGAATACTACCAGAAGTCCCACCAGGGCGCCTCTCTGTGGCCCCGCCCTCATCACCCTGCTCTCGTCTCGCCCTTCCGCATCCTGAGGCTTCTCCCTCCCTGACTCGCCCTTGGCCCACCCCCTCACCTGGGACCTGGCCTCTCACCAAGTACGCTGGCGCCCATGGCTCTGAAGGGAGGCATCGCCCCTCTGCCACACACACTCTGATCTGGCCGTCTCTTTGTCCCCCAATGCTCTGTGCATCCCTCCCAAAACCACACAGGCTGCAGCAGGAAGACCATGGCTGCCAAGCCCTTCTGTGGCTAAGGCCAGCGCTGTTCCCCCACAGGGCCTCCTCCCCAGACAGCCTGCTAGTACCAAGCCTGGTATCAAGCCTCCCCAGAGAGCCTGCTAGTACCACCTCCCTCGCAGGCAGCCTCACACCTCAGCTCCTCTGTGCAGGGCCCAGGCCTCTCCCCATTCAGCCACTGCCTCGCTACACAACCTCGTCTTATTCCTTCCCAGGGCAAACACACTCTAGGTCAGGGGGTGGCACGCAAGGGCCCACAACCCAGCCCAGCTCTCCACCTGCTTCTATGCAGCCTGTGAGCCAGGAATGGGTTTTACATTTTAAAACAGAAAAATAACAAAAGAACAACATTTCATGATGAGAAAATTACATAAAACTCAAATGTCAGTGTCCACAAATAAGGAGCCTGCTTTTCAGCACGACAGCAGAGTGAGCGGCTTCACAGCAGCACAAGACATCCCACGCCCCACACGGCCAGAAACATACTCTGACCCCTCGCAGAAAAGCGCGCCGTCCCGTTCTGGGCCTTTCGCAGAAAAGCGTGCCGTCCCGTTCTGGGCCTTTCGCAGAAAAGCGCGCCGTCCCGTTCTGGGCCTTTCGCAGAAAAGCGTGCCGTCCCGTTCTGGGCCTTTGGGATCCATCGGTGAACTCCACAAAGATCCCCACCCTCGTGGGCATGCATGGTGTCACCACCCAGTCCCCGGCGTACGTGCGAACATCATGCTGAGGATGCTCCCCTCAGTCCCAAGGAGCCTCGAGGTTCTCCCTCCCCCATGAGAATTCTCTCTGCGAAGGATGGATCCTGAAGCCTCCAAGCATTCTGGGCCTTCCCCTCTGCAAACGTTGCTGGGCTGTGAGTTTGTGCCGCTGAGCTCACTGGTGGATTTTCTACTGCGAGGTTATTAGTCTGATTACCACAGATTAAAATGAACTTGGATGAGAGGCCACATGTTCAATTACAGCCAGCCCTAAGCCAGTGGCTTAAGGGAAATAGCTTTTGTTTGTTTTTTCTTGAGACAGGGTCTCACTCTGCTACCCAGGCGGGAGTGCAGTGACACAATCGTGGCTCACTGCAGCCCTGCAGCCTCCAATTCCTGGGCTCAAGTGATCCTCCAGCTTCCGCCTTCCAAAGCACTGGGATTACAGGCATAAGCCACCACGCCTGGCCCAGTGAATGGTCTTTTAAAAAATACTTTATACACTACATCCAGAGTTACCCAAATTCAGTCAAATGCTGTGCGTAACCATCCACTAGTAGACGCCCATCACAAAAGAGTGGTTTCCACGCTCTCGACCGCGGCTACGGTAAGTTCATACACTCATCACTGCAAGTTTCCTGAGTCGATACCTACCCCTTAGCCACTCCGAGTCACACTCCTTTTTATCCAAGACACGCTCCTTTTTATCCAGTATTCTTAATGCTGGCCATGGCCCATTCAATTGATTTGGGTTCAGATCCAAAGTTTGAAAAATAATGCACTCAAATAAGACCAGTGCCAGTTTCTAGGGACTCAGAGTTCAAGAACATGAGGGCACGTGGCACAAGTGACCAAGGACCACCACCTACCATGACCTACACCACAAAGAGAACCAGAAATTGTAAGACAACAGGCCAATTATTGCAAACTGTGTTTGCCCACTGACAGCCACAACAACTGTTAGCTGGGAAACAGGGCACCCAGCCTTCTGTGTCAGATTCAGTCTAAAAACACGTAGGGTGTGAACTTTTTGAATCTTAGGGAAGTATTCCAGCACAAAATGCAGGCTGGCGGTGGCGATACTCTGCTCAGGGACCCAACCCCAGCTCCCACCGACACAAGAGCTGAGCTCACATGAGGATACGCATTGGCAGTGGTTGTCCGCACCCTGGCCACCACCACCCACGGAGCTTGCAGCGTGCCATGATGACAGTAGGGACCGTGGCCCAATTCCCCCTGCTGCGTCTTCTGGTGAACGGTGAAGGCGTTCTGCCACATTTACGAAAAGTGCATTCACATCAGCAAGGAAATGCCAAGCACGCACCAAGTTCTCCCTCCTGGCTCCATGCAAACACGTTTCTACTTTCAGGAAGATTAAGTTTTGCTTCCAGATAGCTGATGACTTTTCATCTCGAGGGAAAAGGAAAATCACTACAGGCCACAACGGCCTTCTCTCAGACACAGAAGGCAACTGGTTATTAGCGAAAAGTTTGTCAGCACAGGGCCCTGCTGCGGGCCTCCGTGGGCTTGGCTCAAAACTGCCCCAGGTCGCCTGACAGGACTCCACATCGGCCCACCCGGTCCACACAGGATCTGGTCTCGACGACGACAGAACGTGGACACAGACGAGCAGAGGGGAGGTGACCATGGCCAATATCCGCCCCCGCTCCATTCTGCCCAGCTTTCCCAGGGGTTTCACTGCAGCCTCCTCTCCATGTATCCTTCCACAGCTCCCACGCTGTAAGCTGGTAACCTGTGGGTTCCGACTGGAGCACTGCAGCATCCTCCACCACCACTGACCCCCTCCGCAGAGAGACACCTCACATGGGAGCAGCCACCATGGACGGTGATGATCCAAAACGTTTCATCAAATTGGACGGTTCTTGACTGAGTGTAGTCGCGAAAGGGGCAGAGTGGCTCTTTCACAACAGGAATCAAGTTCCTGTGACCTCACAGCATCTCGGCCCACCATCTGCTGGCAGCTTAGGAGTTAACACCTCCTGCACATTTTAACCAAAGACACTCACAGGCTCCTGTCACGGAGGCCCCGGGGTGCTCCTCTCTGAGACTTTTGGCACCCGGGAGAGGGGGCTTCTGGGACGCACTTCACCCCCTGCATGCGGGTCAGGATGGAGGATGGGGAGAGTGTTTCTCTACTCCTTGAGGATGGAGGCATCCTGTCTTCCAAAAGGGCGGGCAGAGTAGAGTCATGTACAACAGACAAAGGGGAGTCCCAGGCGAGCCCACCGGGACATGCAGACGCAGAAACCTGAGCTTGCCTACGATTACAACCAAAGCAGGCAGCTCTGCGGCTGGGAAGGCCGTGTACCAATCGCTGGCCCCATTCTTCTCCTGCCGGGGCTGATGGGCCCCAGGTGCAGCTGACGAACAAAACAAGCGTAGCTTTTTCACAGCAAACTGCAACAGTGCAATTCCACCCAATAATGTTTTCAACTTCCTGAAACTCCTTCCCACAGCCCCCAAAGTTCCGGATGGTTCAGAGCACTTCTGCTGACCAAGCCAAATGATGTCATCCTTTCACCGCCATCACCCGTGTGAAGAGAAAACATAGATGTTTATCTACCTCAGGCACAGGGAGGGCTTTCTAAAGCTTTCATCTCAGACATTCTCATTGAGACCCTCAAATTTACTTTCCCCCAGAAGTCTTTCCTTCCAAATGAGGAAATGTTTAGTTTCTCTAGATTTCAGTGGCTAAACTGGTGCTCTGAGTTACACGGACATTTTCAAGTCAGCCTTGCGACGCCATGTCATGTAAATCACTTAATCGTATAACTGGAGTTTTTGGGATTTGTACAGTATCAATGAAGACAATGAGGAACCCAAAGGCTAACAAGCGTGACAGGGGAGCTACAAGACCACTGAGGTCCACCGCCCAGCACCTGTGCCTGGAGCCCCCAAGCCCCTACTCCTTCACCTCCCTCAAGGCTGAGGGAAGCCCTTCCGTGTGGACCACGGTGCACACATCATCGAGCCACCTGCCTGCAAGAAATTCTAAGCCTCCCTGTCTTTCAAGACCCGGACACTTTTGAGAGGCACTGGCAAGGACTGGTGAGCATCCCCCGGGTTGGGTGCAGCATTTTCTCATGATGAGACTGCATTTCTGGCAACACTGCCAGAGAAGTGATGTGTCTCACTGGGTCCTTGGTGTCAACATCTTATGACTGATGGTGTTACCCTGATCACTTGCTTCACGCAATATGTGCTGGGTTTTTCCACCAAGAGGCTACAATTTTATTTCTCCCTTTGTGATGTACATCCTGGGGGAGATACTTTGTGACTATGTAAATATCACAGACAGGAGGACATTAAGTGTGGGGTCCTAGAGGGGATCCCAAAACAGCAAGAGGACACTGGTGCAAAACCGAAGTTCGAATAAGGTCTGTCATTTAGGCAATAATGCTGTGAACTTTCTGGTATTTATATGGATGCCTGGTTCCATAAGATGTCAACATTAGGGGAAGCGGATGAAGAGAACAGGGAAGCTCAGTGAAACATTTTTTCCATCTTTTCTGTAAAGTCAAAAACTACCTGAAAATTAAAAGCTAACTAAGCTGCAGTCTGATTCTGCATGAGAACCTGGGGAGGGTCTGAAAAGTCTGTGTTTCTCACCAATACCCAAGTCACACATGGATGCTGCCAGCCCCTGGACCGCTCTGCTAGCAAGGCTCTGGCAGACAGAAGACAGAGCCCACCTCACTACTCACAACTTCCCAGTGACAGTCAGCTACCAGGCAGCAAGATCATGCTCCCAGTACGCTCGCCACTGCTTCACTGCAGGCCCTCCTGGAAACCAGCAGGGCAGACCGCCCGCTTGGCACACTGACCCAGCGAGGAGACAAAGTCAGGGTCTCTGCTACCACACGGGTCTGCCAGGCCTTGCCCAGGTACGCTGGCAGCCCTGCCACAGGGCCAGAGCCACCAGCCCACGCCGCAATTCGCAGGCGGCTGTGGAACAGTGGCTTGGCACCTCATCCCATCGACTGTGGGCAATTACCAAGGCCACGAGGCAGCGGGAAGGCGGGGTGAATAGAACGGGCTTTCAAACCGCTGCTCAAGGGGAGTGACTGGCCACACAGGTGATGTCCTCCCACCCCATTAACATCATCTTTAATAGAGTGTTATAAACCCACAAGAAAGAACACACTCCTGACAGATGCAGAGAACCCAATCAGGGTAAAGGGAAAGCACCGGGGGCACAGGCGTGGCGCTCCAGGCCTCACAGAGCCTTGCGGACAGGCCAAACCTGCACCTGCCAAGTCAGTCCCGCACAGGAGAGCGAACTCCCCCACGGCCAGCAAAGGGGCTCCCAAAGAAGCGGAGCAGCCCAGAGAAAGTATCTGCAAGTTGGCGCTCCAGGTCCCACAGTACAGGCTCCCAATCACCCAGGGGAAAACTGGACTCTTTCAAAAGCACCCCACAGACCCGGGCTCTCCGCCGGCCTCTCCGCCGGCCTCCTCCTGCCTCAGACAACAGTAAATATCAGTATTTGAGGAGGACTTGCCATACAGAGCAAAAAGCCAACACTCTTTTTTAAGTGACATTAGTGGAAACAAGAAATCAGAACAAAGAGGAATTGGAAAGAATCCTTATTAGTTTCCCTAGAGTCATGGAGATGAGGCATTTGTAAAACAATAAGCTACTGTGAAAAAGGAACAAGACAAATACATGCTTGGAAATTAAAAATTTGATTGTGAAGACATATGAAAGCCCTCTCCCAGAAATGAGAATAAACAAGACACAGAAGGAAGGATAAAGACGCAACTCCAGGGGTCCATCTAGAACGTCCATCACAAACTAACAGGAACTCCTAAGACAGAAGAGCAGAGCTGGAGAGGAAGAACTTCTCAGACAGAACAAGGGAACTTCCCAGAGCTGAAGGACAAGGCACCAGAGTCAAAGAGTCCCCGGAGCAGGAATCCACACACCTCAGCACACGGTAAAATGTCATTAACACCAGAGAGGATCCAAGAGCGTTCAGGGAGGGAGAAGGGTCTCCACAGAGGAACAGCACCTGCCAGAGCGTCCTGTGGAAATGAACAAAGCCGAGATGAAGACATTTCTGAACGCACCCAGCCACAGAAGAAAGGAAAGTATCAGGCTGACTCGTCTGCAGGCTAAAGAATAACCCATCCAGATGAGAAAAAGGTTAGGGGCTGAAGGAGGAAGGGGACCTGACACTATCCTTGAGATCATTTAAAACAATGTAAGGAGTCGATGGGAACAGAAAGTGCCAAGAGAAAAGCCATGACTAACAGAAAAAAAACATGCTGTACAGGAAGGGAAACACTCAATTTGTCTGTGAAGAGAACAGTATTTACATAGGCCTGATACAGACAGTCCAGGGGA